TACTCTCTGCATGATATGTACCTCAAATTTATTTGATTCTCACCTAAATTTGATTAGTATGCTTTCAATGTTGATGTTGAGCTTCCTGAGCAATATTGGTAACAGATTTGGTAGGTTCAAAATTACAACTGAGCATTGAACTGACACCAAAGAATGTTAATGCATTACCTAAATGCTTTGCACTAATTTTTGAAGTCTCAGAGAATGTGTTATCTAGAAGAATGTAGGTCTTATGTAATCATTACCAAACTTTTTTCTTCCTCAGTTGAGGGCCAATCTGATCTTAGAACTTTCATGTTTGGTGGAGAGGGTTAATGAAGAAATGTAGTCTATTTTGCAACAAAAAAAATACTAATAATAATTATTATTATAATAATACTTTATTTGACTTTGTCCTTTTATTCTTTCTACCAATCTCTTGCACTTTTAACAGTTAAGTTTGCTAGGAAGTATAGATGTTTATACTATTCTTGTAATGCTGAAATATTATGAGATTGTGTAGCTATAATTATGTATCTTAAGCTCATTGTTTTTAGCTTTCACATGCAGCAATTATATCCTCCAATCCATCATATAATTGTCTCTTTCCTTCAACCTGCTACATTAAAAAAGAATCAGATTATGTATATTATTAAAAGTTTGTTTCTTGTTTGATTTCATGGCTATGAAAATGTTGCATTGCACATCTTGAAGGTGATATGATGTACATTCAAGGGAATTGTTTATTGTGGGAAATCAATAAATTTGGGGTTTAATATGCTAAATATGATGTATCATTTTAGATGAACTGAGTACAACTTTTATGATGTTTATGTCCAGACTAAGTTGTGTCCAAATTGAAAACTCATTCTTTAGAAATTGTGTCTAATATACTATCATGTTTATGTCCAGGCTCAAATGCAAGCTCAAATTGCAAGTTTGATGGATGAGTTGTGTCGCAACGGCATGTTATCCAATCCAAGTACTCAAGCTCAACATTCGGTTAATTCAAATGGTGAAACCTTAGGAGATGATTAGATTATGTTTATTAATATATTTGGTACTGGTTCTAATGATGTAACATTATACTACAATACTTTTGTTGTTGTTATTCACTTTGAATGCTTTTTAATATAGTATACTTTATAATTATATTATTCAAGTACTGTACTATAGGCTTAATGCATGTTTCTGATATTAATTAGCGGGTACAATTGTTTTATTAATTTTCAAAATTTAGGGACGGACAAATATGGTAGTAATGTAATGAAATAGCAACCGAAAAATCTGTAGTTAAATTTAGCGACGGATATTTCTGTCACGAAGTTGTAGTTAAATCACATTCAATTAAAATAATAATAAAAGAATAGCGACGGATAATTTGTCGTTAAATTAACGACGGACGGTAGCGACGGAAAAATCCGTCCGCCGCTAAATATAGCGACGGAAAAATCCGTAGCTAAGTCGTTGTAAATCTTGTCATCGGAGCATAGTAGTAGTAATTTAACGACGGATTTGTTGTTGCTTTAGCGACGGAAATTTCGTCGCTAATTATTGCGACGGACTATTCCGTTGTTATTCACTCGCAAATGTCGTCTCCGGATCTGTCGTCGCAAGGAATTTAGCGACGGATCTATTTTGGCTAGCAACGGAAATGTCCGTCGCTAGACTTAGCGACGGAAAAAAATTGTGTCGCTAAGTTTTAGCGAGGCGGGTTTTTGTGACGGACGAATTCCGTCGCTAAAAACTTTAGCGACGGATTTTCACTATTTAGCGACGGAATTCGTCCGTCGCTATTCTTGTATTTTTTTGTAGTGTTATACGAGATCCAAGTTCTTAACAAGTCATACGAGAGTTATTGAAATGCTTTTAGAGTAAGAACTTGAAATAGGATGATGAGAAGTGGAAAATAATGTTGGGAAAATGATTTCAATATAAGAATGAGAATAAAATGTGAATTTCCTATTTTACCCTTCTAATAATATAGGGTTATTGGATTTTTCGTCAAGTTGAAACGGAAACCTAAAATCATGGACCAAATGCGCCACTTCGCTCATAACTGAAGGGTAAAAATTGATATAGTCATAACGGATGGACTAAGTCATAAATATAGTATAACTTAGTGATCAAATATGTCATTTTCTCATATTAATATATTCCTACTTTTTACTCTTATTATCGTGACATGTTTTGATTGATTAAGAAAAAATGTATGCCACAATTCTTATTTTTGGCAATTTATTTTTCTAATAAAATTAAAACATTTCACTAGAGCTTATTTTATAAGAATCTATTTATCATTTTCTATTTTATATGACCAAGTCGTTTCCAAAAAAAAAAATTATATGACCAAGTCAATACTATGCAGATAATTAAAGTTACAATCATCATTTATGATCCACCAATTGACAACTTGACATCGATTTGCCGATGAGAACATATACCCATGTTTAGGAAATTTAATTGTCACAATTAAAAAAAAAAAGAATATTAAGACAATTTCAAAAATTATTCGATTTCATAACGACAATGAACGTCTTTTCACATATACCCACGTTCTTAATATCTTTTAAATCAAAAGATATTGAAAGTTTAGCTAAAATGGAAATTTAAGTGGTTATTTTGTGGTATAAATATATGTAGAGTTCATTTTTAATATATTTGGATCGGGTCAAAGTTGATTCATGTTTTTTCAAAATTAAACGAAAAATTGATATATTGTATACTCAAAACGGTTAACGGGTGAATGACAAATTAATTAACAAAAAAATCGAGATGAGAAGGCTTGAAAATAACCTTTGTCCCATATTACAAAGAAATGTGAGTTTGCACTAGTGTGTGTGTATATATATATATATATATATATATATATATATATATATATAATTTTTTTTTAAAAAATGAGCTTGAATATTTCAAAATTATAAACATCACATTTTTTCTGTTACCTCCATAGTGTAAGCAAACCCTGTCAATAAAATAAATAAATAAAATAAGAAAATGAAAAAAGAGAGCACATAAACTAGATTCACCATGCTATGAGAAAGGTAAAAAATGTTGTGTAATTACTAATTAGCCTGCAGCTGGAGTTGCATACCCAAATGTTGCCTCAAATGAAGTCCAATTTGATGAATTAAGACTCAATATTTTTGCTGTACCAAAATCTGACACATGAATTCAGGGCTGAAAAAAAAAAAACAGGAAAAACAAGTGGGCATGGCATGAACTATTGATGACTTTTATCTTCATATGAGTGGATCGGATTAAAGCCATATTGTAAGTCAATATACCGATTTGCTATTGAGTTTTTGAGCCTCTTATCTGTCCTATTGAATGATAACGAAGCAAACACTAATAAAGAATTGTAAGATGTGGTGTGACAAAATTTATCGATTGTATGCTATTACAAATATCATCATTTTTATCTAAATGTGATTTGGAACTAAAGTCCACAATGCAAGATGGACTATATATAGCACGTCCAAGGTATAATTTGTGATGCCTCCTTTGTAACTTCACATTTAATTTATTTACACAAACCATGGACCTTCATAATTAATTCATGTGCAAACAATATCGCATTGTGTTGAATATATGATGATACATATGTTTATTTCACTAATTAATTCAATTTGTAGCGCAGCTTTGATAATTATTTTCTCATAGATTAGTAACTATGCAAGCTAATATCATCTTCATTGCTCTATTCATATCAATTATTGCCACTACAAAGAATCATCAGTTGGATAAAGAGGAAAAGGAGTTGTGATTACTTTGTTGTGTATAGATTTAAACTTTTAAAGAGAAGGTAGCATGCAGGCACATTCAGTATGAATTTTTACATGCACACATATACACAATGTCTATAGCATATCAATACATATATATGCTAACTAATTAAATAACATACATTGGACCATAATAATTTCTAGTTTAAGAATTCCAAAGCTAAACACGTCATATTTTTTGTTTACCTCCATACTGGGAGAAGAAAAATATAATGAAGATAAAAAAGAATAAAGCATGCAAATTAAAGTGGATTAACCACGCAATGCTTTTTCATGAAAATGATGAAAAATATGTTTTGTAATACAATTAGTGTGTACCAGGAGCTGCATAGCCAAATCCAAATGTCCCAACAAATGAAGTCCAATTAGATGAATCAAGACTCAATATTCTTGTTGTGGCCGAAATCAGAAACATGAGCTTCATATTCAGAATCAAATAGATGATCATTCTTAGCAGATATGTCCCGATGAACAATAGGAGTACAGTTAAACAATCACGGTGCATATATATGACAATTCAATATAATGTTTTAGCCACATCTTTAACTACATTTACCCTTTTCATCCACCTACATTAATTCCAATGTTTTTTCACCTCGGCCCCAATCACTAATACAATATCTTGAATTCGAAGTTCTCAATCACATCAAGGATACTTTTATATGCCACTTTCCCATCAAAACTCATATCTTCAGCACATCTTTAGTAATAATTTCCCTTATTGGTCTTTCTCTAATATTGCCTTTGATCGAATAATTAATATGACAAGAATGCCAATAACCACAAACAAACTTCAAATGTCGATCTCTAGTATGATTAAGAACAAATTTCTTTCTCATATGATCTATTTAGTTGTAAGGGGGCAAGGCTTAAAGCCAAAATGATTTCCACACAAACCTTTGTTACGTTATTCCTCAAGGAATCTTCCAGAAATGCTTTATTGTTAGGGATTGAACCTTCTAACTAATTGTATATACATGCATCAATAAAATCTAAATCAAGTAAAACGCTGGAAAATGCTTGATAGAATGTACCTGAGAAATTATATATTGTGTGATAGGTTCATAATTGTAAACTTTTCAGTCATCTTCCCATTTCATACTAAGCAATCTTATTGATTTCATATAGGCCGGGGTAGACATGAAAGAATATAATGATTACAATTTAAATTAGGAAGATGAGAAATTGATTATTATTATTATTCTTAAAAAACCAAGAATACAACCAAAAGGATATATAGTATGCAAATGAAGATTAATGTTGTACTCAGGCAGTGGGAAATTCAAGACCAAACAATTGGTTAAGTGTGATATCAGGGAACAAGTTTGAAGGCTGCATTTTCTTGGAACATGGTTGGCCGAGATCCTGGATTGAAATTCAGACATGCAAATGCTATCTTTGCAATCAACACCAATTCTTCCGCTTCATGTTTCCCAGGACTTGAAAGTCGAGGGTCCAACACCTCCTTCAAAACAACGTTTTGGTTTTCAGATAATGAAATGGATGCAATAAGTTCACCAGGATGTCGTCCCATAATCACTTCTAAAACTACCACTCCAAAACTGAACACATCACACTTTTCGTTCACCTCCATTGTGTAAGCAAACTCTACAAACAAAATAAAAATAGGAATAAAAAATTGGATCTATATAATTGAATAAGGGTTTATATAATTAAAAAGATTAGTACAATAAATACCTGGAGCAGTGTAGCCAAATGTTCCAGCAAACGAAGTCCAGTTCGATGAATTGGAACTCAAGAGTCTAGCCGTGCCAAAATCAGATATATGAGCCTCGTATTCATGGTCAAAAAGAATATTCTTGCTGGATATGTCTCGGTGAACAATGGTAGGGAAACTACCGTGGTGCATGTATGATAATGCTTTCGCCACACCTTTAACAACATTCACCCTCTTAATCCAATCCAATTCCATTGATTTTTCATCATGGCTCAATACTTGCGCTAGGCTTCCACCTTCTAAGTACTCATAAACTATGAATGAATGTCGCACATGAGAGCAAAAACCATACAGCCTAACAACATTCCGATGCCTCACTTCACTTAGACTCTGAATCTCATTTGTAAAACTTTTGAAGTCCTGAGACTCATCTTCTTGTATGGATTCATTCAACTTTTTTACAGCAAAAACCTCACCATTGGATAACTCAGCTCGAAATACACTTCCTGATCCTCCCACTCCAATGCAGTATCTTGAATCAAAGTTATCTGTTGCTTCTACTATGCTTTCATATGCAATATTCCCATCAAAGTTCAATATTGTGAACAAATATTCTCTGGATGCCCTTGGCATTTCTTTGATGCGCCTTCTTAGTGGAATCAACCATATGACAACAACCATCGCAACAACACCAATAACTCCAATCGGTATCACTATGATTAAAACCAAAGTTGTTGTTTTGTGACCCTGATTTGTCTTCTTTTCAGGAGATCCAGAAGAACATGGCTTCAAACCAGCAATGATGCCACACAAACCTTTGTTGTTTCTTAAGGATTCAAATGTAGCATTTTCAAATGCTTTGATGTCTGGGAGCATTCCTTCCAACTCATTATAGGATACATCAATGGAAACCAAACCTAAGCATTGAGCCATGCTTGATGGGATGGAGCCTGACAACTTATTGTGTGAAACATTCAGGCTTTGTAAGGATATTAATCCTCCAAACTGTTGTGGTAGCTTGCCAGTTAGCATGTTTTGACTGAGATCAAGAGTTTGAAGGAATTTCAAGCTTCCTATATCATAAGGAATCCTACCTTCAAACATATTTTGACTCAAATTCAAAACACTTAACTTTTGACAACTTCCTAAGCCCTCTGGAATGAAACCAATAAACCTATTTGCAGCCAAGTTCAACTCTGTGAGCAAAGACAGTTCCCCAATTCCTAATGTTATGTTGCCAGACAATTTGTTGCCATCCAACTTTAAAACACCCAAGGAATGTAGAGTACTAAAACTCTTTGGAATGTCCCCAACAAGTTGATTGGAGGAGAGATCAAGAAATTCTAGTTGGGATGCATTTGCAAGTTCAGGTGGGATTTTCCCAGAAATTCTATTTCTGGAAATCTTCAAAGCTGCTAGCTTTGAACAAAGACCCCAGTTTGAAGATAGCTGGCCATGGAAGTTATTGTAACTCAAATCAAAGTAATTTAGGTCTGGATATATTCCAAAATCTTCAGATATGTCTCCGGAGAGTTTGTTATATTCAAGCCTAACTCTTTGAAGGGTTGTGCAGTTTTTTATGCCTTTGGGAATGTTTCCACTAAAGTTATTGTACACAACTGAGAAATAGGTTAATGACTTGCCAAGGCATAAATTCTCTGGCAAAGGACCTGAGAAATGATTACCACCTATTTGAAAAAATATGAGTTTTGCACTAACATTATTTAATTCTGATGGAAGGTGACCACTAAGTTGATTGAAAAATAGAGTTAACATATTCAATTTTGTCAGGTTTCTAATTGAACTAGGTATTTGAACAGACAAATAATTTGAGGACACATCTATTTTGACAAGGGAGGATAACAATCCAATTTCTCCTGGAATACGACCAGAAAGTTCATTACTATCGAGAGTAATTGATTCTAAATTTGTCAGACCTCCTATAGAGATAGGAATTTGACCATTGAAGTTATTAGAAAATAAGACCAAATGCCTCAAATTTGACAAATTTCCAATGGTAGCAGGAATGCTACCAGAGAGTTCATTATTGTTGAGATACAATTCCCTTAAATTTTTCAAATTTCCAATTGAAGTAGGGATTTGACCACTGAGATTATTAAAGCTCATCTCTAAACCAATAAGGGACGTCAATAAACCAATTTCTTGAGGAATGTGACCTGAAAGTTGATTTGTATCGAGATGTAGAATAGTTAAATTTCGCAAGTTCGCTATAGAAATTGGAATTTCACCCGTGAGGTTGTTCGAGTTCAATTCCAAATCTACTAGCGAATTTAAATATCCAATCTCATGAGGAATTTGACCAGAAAACCAATTTTCATAGAGACGCATAGTCGTTAAATTTTGAAAGTGGAGCATATCTTTAATAAAAGAAATGTTACCATTGAGAAAATTCTTAGAAAGATCAATAACTTGCAAATGGAACAAGGACGAAAAATTCAAATCTTGAAGAGTACCTTTTAAACTGTAACCAGAAAGATTCATACTTGTAACACTCCCATCTCTATTACAAGTAACTCCAATCCATTTGCATGAATTGCTACCAACCCAAGATGAAAGTACTTTTTGGCTTTTGCCATCAAGACTGGACTTCCAAGTTAAAAGAGCACCTACTTCATTTCCTACTTGCAAATTATTTACAGGCAAAAATGGATTTGTGTTTGTAGTATTGGGAATAGGGGAGGAAGAAGAAGAAGAAGAAGAAACATGAAGGGATAGGAGGTGTTTAATAGTAAGCAACAATAATAGTTTATATGCATGCATTCTCATTGTGATACACGAGAAAGTGTGTTTACTAGGTGCATGAAAAAGTGTGTTTATATAGATACTCCGTAGTCGGGATGATGAATACATTACACAATATTTAGCATCTCAATGATATAATAATAGAGTAAATTTATGTTGGTTACATACTTTAATTGACTAATTGTCGGCATCTACGCCTACAAAACCGGAATGATGATTAGCTAGTAGCATCTATCTCAATGTATCATATTAGGTTGGTCAGATCAGTGCCGCCTTTTTTTATTTATGTCGCCCCGCTTGTATAAATTAATGAGGCCTATTAAAAATATAAGAACAATCTTTAAAATTAATAAGGTAAAATGTATAATTTTTATTTCAAATAAGTATGAACGGTGTAACAACATGTGAACATAAAAATTATTCTCCCTACGGTAAAATATATGATTTTTATTTCAAATAAATATAATAAATGATTAAAATATTAGACCCTATGAAATTGAGGCCCTATGTTGTTGCCCATCTTGCAAGCCTCAATATCCGGCCATGGATCATATTTATCAGTCTTATATCGTGGATCGCGATGCACATGCACCGCGGTCAAAACGGCGCTGTTTCTTTAAGTAAAGAAACAGCATGCTGTTAATGTTAACTGAGTGACACTACAGTGTATCTAAACCGACACTGCCTCACGTATTATTTTTATATTATCAAATGAAACTGCAGTTATATCAAAATGATATTGTAGTTATGGTGAAATCAAACTGCAGTATATATAAAATGAAACTGAATAACATTTCACATATTTGAGTGTATATTATATATACAATGAAACTGTAATTATATTGATCATGCAGTTGTGTTTTAATGAAACTATAATGTATATAAAATAAAATTAAATAACATTTTCACATATTTGAGTGTATAAATATTGAATGAAACTGTAGTTACATCGAAATGAAACTGTAGTTGTGTTGAACTGAAACTGCAGTGTATACAAAATGAAACTGAAGAACAGAGTTATTTTTTACGGAACGGCGCAAAACAGATGCTGTTTCTTTTCATTAAATAAAATGATGTCGTTTTGATGCGCGGTGCATAATATAATTTGCCCAGATTTATTGCATAGGTGTATATCTACTACTTTCTTTGACTTTGATATTTCTATTATTTCTGTTACATTATTATTTTATTGTCAACTTAAAAAAAAAAAAAAAAATTAGCATGACCATACCATTATTTCTCATCGAAAGAGATTGAACAAAAAATTAATTGCAAAATGCAAAGGCTCAGTTGCGAAGAATACCCCTAGAAGTGATACAATTGTATTTCTTATAGGTATGATGGAAAAGACAGAGTGAGAGCCACATGATTTGATTGAATCGCGAGGAATTGAAGAAACCCTGCAGAATTATTTTTTTAAATACTATTGACTCTATTACAATGTAGTATCTGTCATATACTTTCTCTAACTAATGCAATTCAAAGAGTCAATACTCCACCATCGAGGGTTCGATCCTGTGAATGGTTGTGACCTTCTCTTAAGAAAAACTACAGATGTGTCATCTGAACACAAGGTGTTTGACAAACCCTGCAAAACTTAGGAATTGAAGAAGTTGAATATGGGTCTTGGAATATAAGTGAGAACGTGCGGGAGTTATAAATTAGATTGTCTAATTCAGTTAAAATATGAGTCTAGTTAGACTTGGAAAAATAATAAAAATAGAGTTTTATTACATGTACTTTTAAATTCTATCTCGTCAATTTTTACTTTATGATGTAGCAAACAATAATAGGATATTTTCATCATGTGAGTCTCAGGAAAAGTGTTTATATCAAAGACTTATGAGAAGGAGTAGAAGTTGAGAGTAAGAAATGGAGTACATATAGTATTTTCCTTAAAATATAAGTCTAACCTATCCCATAACTCAAAATAATAAGATATGGCAAATTATTATGTGGACCATGGTCCATACAGTGTTGTGTGGACCATAAAAAAATACATTTTTAATATATTAAAAGTACATTATTATTTGTGGCAAATTATGTTGTGAACACGTGCTCACCATGCACATGGGGCACACGAATATGATCTATATCCATAATTTCTATACTGTAGACCCATAATTTTTATACTGTAAATCCATAATTTTCTAGACACTCGATGAGCTAAAATTATGAATCTAAAGTATAAATTTTAGCTCACTGAGAGTCTAGAAATTATGGATATACAGTATAGAAATTATGGATATAGGTTCGTGGTTAGAAATTATGAATCTAAAGTATAAATTTTAGCTCACCAAGAGTCCAGAAATTATGGATATACAGTATAGAAATTATGGATATACAATATAGAAATTATGGATATAGATTTGTGCGCATCATGCAAGGTGAGCACGTGCTCACAGCATAATGATTAATTATTTAATTTGTGTACCAAATATACATTATAAAAAACATTTGTTATTTCTCAAGGAATCATACGGAGCTTCTAGAAATGCTTTATTGTTTGGGATGGAACCTTCTAACTAATTGTATGATACATCAATCATATCTACAATAGCTGAGAAATAATTGATGGAATGTACCCTAAGAGATTATTGTGCGATAGGTTAAACTTTTCAGTTATCTTTCCATTTCATACTAAGCAATCTTCTCGATTTCATACAAGAGTAGACATAAAACAATGATTACAAATTAGGAAGATGAGAAATTGAAGATTAATGTTGTACTCAGGCAGTGGGAAATTCAAGACCAAACAATTGGCAAAGTGTGATATGATGGAACAAGTCGGAAGGCTGCATTTTCTTGGACAGTAATGCAGAAACTTGAAGCATAGTTGGCCGAGATCCTGGATTGAAATTCAGACACGAAAATGCTATTTTTGCAATCAACACCAATACTTCAGCTTCATGTTTCCCAGGACTTGAAGGTCGAGGGTCCAACACCTCCTTAAAAACAAGGTTTTGGTTTTCAGACAACGAAGATGATGAAATGGATGCAACAAGGTCACCCAGATGTCGTCCCATAATCACTTCTAAAGCTACTACTCCAAAATTGAATACATCACACTTTTCGTTCACCTCCATTGTGTAAGCAAACTCTATAAACAAAATCAAAACAAGAATAAACAATTGCGTCTTTAACTGTGTAGTTTATATAATTAAAAAGATCAATTAGTACAATGCATACCTGGAGCAGTGTAGGCGAGCAACGGCCTTCAAGTCATCAACGGCATATATATCTCAAGTGCATGGTTTACATTCCTCTTTAGACTTAATCCTTAATGATGTTAGGAAAATAGCTACAAGTTTTAGTAATCTATGCATTTTGTTTGCAAAGCGATTTGTGAACAGGGTTGTTTATTTATTAGCTTGGGAAGTCCTGTCTACTGTTCGGACTGTTCATTAATATGACAAGAATGCCAATAACCACAAAAAAAAAACATCCAAATGTTACTAGTATGATTAAGAACAAATTTCTTCTCATATGATCTCTTTGGCTGTAAGGGGAGCATGGCTTATACCCAAAATGATTTCCACACAAACCCTTGTTATTTCTCAAGGAATCAACCGAGCTTCCAGAAATGCTTCTAAACCAGGTAGGACACTGGAAAATGCATGCCTGATAGAATGTACCCTGAGAAATTATATATTGTGCGATAGGTTCATAATCTGTAAACTTTTCAGTCATCTTCCCATTTCATGCTAAGCAATCTTCTAGCTTGATTTCATATAGGCCGGGGTAGACATGAAACAATATAATGATTACAGTTTAAATTAGGAAGATGAGAAATTGATAATTATTATTCTTAATTAGAAAACCAAGAATACAACCAAAAGGATATATAGTATGCAAATGAAGATTAATGTTGTACTCAGGCAGTGGGAAATTCAAGACCACACAATTGGTTTAGTGTGATATGAGGAAACAAGTTTGAAGGCTGCATTTTCTTGGACAGCAATGCAGAAACTTGGAACATGGTTGGCCGAGATCCTGGATTGAAATTCAGACATGCAAATGCTATCTTTGCAATCAACACCAATTCTTCCGCTTCATGTTTCCCAGGACTTGAAAGTCGAGGGTCCAACACTTCCTTCAAAACAACGTTTTGGTTTTCAGATAATGATGATAATGAAATGGATGCAACAAGTTCTCCAGGATGTTGTCCCATAATCAATTCTAAAACTACCACTCCAAAACTGAACACATCACACTTTTCGTTCACCTCCATTGTGTAAGCAAACTCTACAAACAAAATAAAAATAGGAATAAAAAATTGGATCTATATAATTGAATAGTTTATATAATTAAAAAGATTAGTACAATAAATACCTCGAGCAGTGTAGCCAAATGTTCCAGCAAACGAAGTCCAATTCGATGAATTGGAATTCAAGAGTCTAGCCGTGCCAAAATCAGATATATGAGGCTCATATTCTTGGTCAAAAAGAATATTCTTGTTGGATATGTCTCGGTGAACAATGGTAGGGAAACTACCTTGGTGCATGTATGATAATGCTTTTGCCACAGCTTTAACAACATTCACCCTCTTAATCCAATCCAATTCCATTGATTTTTCATCATGGCTCAATACTTGCGCTAGGCTTCCACCTTCTAAGTACTCATAAACTATGAATGAATGTCGCACATGAGAGCAAAAACCATACAACCTAACAATATTCCGATGTCTCACCTCACTTAAACTGCGAATCTCATTTGTAAAACTTTTGAAGTCCCGAGATCCATCTCCTTGTATGGATTCATCATTCAACTTTTTTACTGCAAACACCTGACCATTGGATAACTCAGCTCGAAATACACTTCCAGATCCTCCCACTCCAATGCAGTATCTTGAATCAAAGTTGTCTGTTGCTTCTACTATGCTTTCATATGCAATATTCCCATCAAAGTTCAATATTGTGAACAAATTTTCTCTGGATGCCCGTGGCATTTCTTTAATGCACCTTCTTAGTGGAATCAACCATATGACAACAACCATCGCAACAACACCAATAACTCCAATCGGTATCACTATGATTAAGACCAAAGTTGTTGTTTTGTGACCATGATCTATCTTCTTTTCAAGGGATCCAGAAAAACATGGCTTCAAACCAGCAATGATGCCACACAAACCTTTGTTGTTTCTTAAGGATTCAAATGTAGCATTTTCAAATGCTTTGTTGTCTGGGAGCATTCCTTCCAACTCATTATTGGATACATCAATGGAAATCAAACCTAAGCATTGAGCCATGCTTGATGGGATGGAGCCTGACAACTTATTGTGTGAAACATTCAGGCTTTGTAAGGATATTAATCCTCCAAATTGTTGTGGTAGCTTGCCAGTTAGCATGTTTTGACTGAGATCAAGAGTTTGAAGGAATTTCAAGCTTCCTATATCATAAGGAATCCTACCCTCAAACATATTTTGACTCAAATTCAAGACAGTTAACTTTTGACAACTTCCTAAGCCCTCTGGAATGAAACCAATAAACCTATTTGCAGCCAAGTTCAGTTCCGTGAGCAAAGACAGTTCCCCAATTCCTAATGTTATGTTGCCAGACAGTTTGTTGCCATCCAACTTTAAAACACCCAAGGAATGTAGAGTACTAAAACTCTTTGGAATGTTCCCAACAAGTTTATTGGAGGAGAGATCAAGAAATTCTAGATTGGATGCATTTGCAAGATCAGGTGGGATTTTCCCAGAAATTCTATTTCTGGAAATCTTCAAAGCTGCTAGCTTTGAACAAAGACCCCAGTTTGAAGATAGCTGGCCATGGAAGTTATTGGAACTCAAATCAAAGTAATTTAGGTTTGGATATATTCCAAAATCTTCAGATATGTCTCCGGAGAGTTTGTTATATTCAAGCCTAACTCTGTGAAGGGTTGTGCAGTTTTTTATGCCTTTGGGAATGTTTCCACTAAAGTTATTGTACACAACTGAGAAATAGGTTAGTGACTTGCCAAGGCATAAATTCTCTGGCAAAGGACCTGAGAAATGATTACCACCTATTTGAAAATCAATGAGATTTGCGCTAACATTATTTAGTTCTGATGGAAGGTGACCACTAAGTTGATTGAAAAATAGAGAAAACCTATTCAATTTTGTCAAGTTTCTAATTGAACTAGGTATTTGACCAAACAAATAATTTGAGGACACTTGTAGTTCGACAAGGGAGGATAACAATCCAATTTCTCCTGGAATACGACCAAAAAGATTATTATCTTGAAGAAAAATGGATTCTAAATTTGTCATGCCTCCTATAGAGACAGGAATTTGACCAGTGAGGTTATTAGAAAATAAGGACAAAGTCCTCAAATTCGACAAATTTCCAATGGTAGGTGGAATGCTACCAGAGAGTCCATTTTTGCTGAGATACAACTTCCTTAAATTTTTCAAATTTCCAATTGAAGTAGGGATTGGACCAATGAGATTACTAAAACTCATCTGTAAATCAATAAGGGATGTCAAAAAACCAATTTCTTGAGGAATGTGACCTGAAAGTTTATTTGTATCGAGATGTAGAATCGTTAAATTTCGCAAGTTCCCAATAGAAATAGGAATTTCACCCGTGAGGTTGTTCAAGTTCAATTCCAAATCTACTAGAGAATTTAAATATCCAATCTCATGAGGAATTGGACCAGAAAACCAATTTTCATAGAGACGCATAGTCGTTAAATTTTGAAAATGGAGCATATCTTTTATAAAAGATATGCTACCGTTGAGAGAATTTTTAGAAAGATCAATAACTTGCAAATGGAACAAGGACGAAAAATTCAAATCTTGAAGAGTACCTTTTAAATTGTAACCAGAAAGATTCATACTTGTAACACTCCCATCTCTATTACAAGTAACTCCAATCCATTTGCATGAATTGCTACCAACCCAAGATGAAAGTGCTTTTTGGCTTTTGCCATCAAGACTGGACTTCCAAGTTAAAAGAGCACCTACTTCATTTTCTACTTGCAAATTATTTCCAGGCAAAAATGGATTTGTGTTTGTAGTATTGGGAATAGGGGAAGAAGAAGAAGAAACATGAAGGGATAGGAGGTGTTTAATAGTAAGCAACAAAAATAGTTTATATGCAGGCATTCTCATTGTGATACAAGAGAAAGTGTGTTTACTAGGAGCACTAAAAAGTGTGTTTATATAGAAACTCCAATCCGTAGTAGGGGATGAATACATTACCTGATATTTTATTGAGTAAAATATTTGACAAAAAATATTAGTCTAAATCGGATGTAGCATCTCAATCTCAATGATATAATAATAGAGTAAATTTATGTTGGTTACATACTTTAATTGACTAATTGTCGGCATCTACGCCTACAAAACCGGAATGATGATTAGCTAGTAGCATCTATCTCAATGTATCATATTAGGTTGGTCAGATCAGTGCCGCCTTTTTTTATTTATGTGGTCTCGCTTGTATAAATAAATGAGGCCTATTAAAAATATAAGAACAATCTTTAAAATTAATAAGGTAAAATGTACAATTTTTATATTTCAAATAAGTATGAACGGTGTAACAACGTGTTAACGTAAAAATTATTGTTCCTACGGTAAAATATATGATTATTATTTCAAATAAATATGAACGATGTAAATATTAGATTCTCTTAAATTGAGGTCCTATGTTGTTGCCCATCTTGCCAGCCTCAATATCCGGCCATGGATCAGATTTATTGCATAGGTGTATATCTATCACTTTCTTTGACTTTGATATTTCTATTATTTCTGTTACATTATTATTTTATTGTCAACTTTTAAAAAATAAAAAATAGCATGACCATACCATTATTTCTCATCGAAAGAGATTGAACAAAAGATTAATTGCAAAATGCAAAGGCTCAGTTGCGAAGAATACCCCTAGAAGTGATACAATTGTATTTCTTATAGGTTCGATGGAAAAGACACAGCGAGAGCCACATGATTTGACTGAATCGCGAGGAAGAAACCCAAAGAGTCAATACTCTCTCGGGATTCGATCCTACCTTCTCTCAAAAAAAATTATAGATGTGTCATCTGAACACAAGGTGTTTGGCAAACCTTACCGAACTTAGGAATCGAAGAAGTTGAATATGAGTCTTGGAATATAAGTGAGAACGTGCGGGAGTTATAAATTAGATTGTCTAATTCAGTTAAAATGAGTCTAGTTAGACTTGGACAAATAATACAAATAGAGTTTTATTACATGTACTTCTAAATTCTACTCCGTCAGTTTTTACTTTATGATGTAGCAAACAATAATAGGATATTTTCATCATGTGAGTCTCAGAAAATTGTTTATATCAAAAACTTATGAGAAGGAGTAGAAATTGGGAGTAAGAAATGGAGAACATATGGTATTTTCCTTAAAATTTTAAGTCTAACCTATCCCATAACTCAAAATAATAAGATATGGTAAATTATTATGTCGACCATGGTCTATACAGTGTTGTGTTGACCATAAAAAATACATTTTTAATATATTAAAAGTAAATTATAGAAAACCTTTGTTATTTCTCAAGAAATTATACGGAGCTTCTAGAAATGCTTTATTATTTGGGATGGAACCTTCTAACTAATTGTATGATACATCAATCATATCTACAGCAGAACTTTTCAAAAAAAAATATCTACAGCAGAACACTGAGAAATAATTGATGGAATGTACCCAAAGAGATTATTGTGCGATAAGTTAAACTTTTCAGTTATCTTTCATAAGCAATCTTCTAGATTTCATACAAGAGTAGACATAAAACAAATGATTACAAATTAGGAAGATGAGAAATTGATCAGATTATTATTCTTAGAAAACAAAGAATACAACCAAAAGGATATATAATATGCAAATCATGAAGATTAATGTTGTACTCAGGCAGACTCAGGGACGGAGCCAGAAAAATACTTGAGCGGGGGCGAAGTTTAAATGACAGTTAGCAATATCAATTACGAAATATCAAACAATCATAATAAGGTTAAAATACAAAATATATTATAAATTACAATAGAAATTTTTTGATAGATTAAACGATAGTTAGAATCAGAGCAAAAAAGTATACTTGAGTGAGGTAAAAATGTAAAATAATTTGAATAAAATGAAGCATAATATAAACTTGTATACTACATTAATTAAATGATTCATAAAAAGTAGACTAAAAGAGCATTTAATTTGTTAATTAAATGATTCATAAAAGTAAGCTAAAAAATATTTATCTTGAGAAGGAATGAAAGATATAAAATAAATAAGTGAAGATGGAAAAGTGTTTTTAATGAGATTCGAACCTATAACCATACACTTTTTTAAAAATTAAATTTAAAGCTCAAACAACTAAGCTACTCTAACTATTAATAAATCAAACATAAATATAAATTTTATATAACATTTAATGCTATATATGTCGATATATACATACATATATATATAAAGGGGTGAGGTGGGGGAGTGGGGGCAGCTGCCCCCACTGCCCCCATACTGCCTCCGTCTATGCAGGCAGTGGGAAATTCAAGACCGAACAATTGGCAAAGTGTGATATGATGGAACAAGTCCGAAGGCTGCATTTTCTTGGACAGTAATGCAGAAACTTGGAGCATAGTCGGCCGAGATTCTGGATTGAAATTTAGACACGAAAATGCTATTTTTGCAATCAACACCAATACTTCAGCTTCATGTTTCCCAGGACTTGAAGCTCGAGGGTCCAACACCTCCTTAAAAACAAGGTTTTGGTCTTCAGATAATGAAGACGATGAAATGGATGCAACAATGTCACCTGGATGTCGTCCCATAATCACTTCTAAAACTACCACTCCAAAACTGAACACATCACACTTTTCGTTCACCTCCATTGTGTAAGCAAACTCTATAAACAAAATCAAAACAAGAATAAACAATTGCGTTAACTGTGTAGTTTATGTAATTAAAAACATCAATTAGTACAATGCATACCTGGAGCAGTGTAGCCAAATGTTCCAGCAAACGAAGTCCAGTTCGATGAATTGGAATTCAAGAGTTTAGCCGTGCCAAAATCAGATATGTGAGCCTCGTATTCATGGTCAAAAAGAATATTCTTGCTCGATATGTCTCGGTGAACAATAGTAGGGAAACAACCATGGTGCATGTATGATAATG